TGCATTGGGCTCAATGTTTGTCAGCTATTGTGAATTTGTGGGAAAGTTAAATTGACAGGATTTCATGATGCCATTTTCATTTTTTTTAAAGTTCAAAATTTTGTTGTTAAATTGATCATTCTGGACTAATTAAGTCTATTGCTTTCAACCTCTAGAGTGCTTGTACAGGTGAGGAAAAACATCTCAAGGACTGTTTGGATGCTTATAGTCCAAACAGTGCAAGGGTGAGTTTAGTGATGCCTGAGTTGTGGATATGACTATATGGTGGAAGAAGGTGAGGTTGGCCTGGGTACAAGCATGAACAAATACAATGGCATTAACATCACGTCGAACATGTTTGTGACATAGTTTTATAAAACTTGGATGCAACAGTTAGCAAGCTGCGCTCTGATCAATTTCGTCTTTATCAAGTGTATTTCAATGCTATGCTTGTCTCCTTGGATGACTATGCCCCGTTCGTTTCGCTGAAAAAACAAGCCGAAACATTGTTCCGGCTGATTTGTTGTGAGAGAAAAACATTGTTCTGGCTGAAAAGACGGATTATAAGATAAGCGAACATGGCTGATTTGTTGCGCTCTAATCTTTTGTTTTTGTACTTTCATGTTGATCATTTTGCTCTCAAATTCACAAACACAAATAGGTGCTCTGTTCAAAACGAGCATCGACTTAAATGAATTCCGTTATTTTATGGCAGCAATGAATTATGTTTGGTTGGGTTGATTCTTCCCATTTATCATGCATACTTAAGTTTTATTCCGTTGCAACGCATGGGCACTCACCAAGTGAGCAGTGAACTTGGGCCACTGCAGTCTAACTTTTCCCTTTTTTTGGTCTCGTGGACCCAGCTGTATAGTAGGCCATATAGCTCGAGCCCGTCGGCCCGGCCCAAGGCCTGTTTTTTTGGCCCCGCCCAAGCACGGCACGGCTAGTGGGCCCAGGCTGGCCCGGCCCAGAGAAGCAGGCCGTGCCTAGGCCTTACCCCAGGCACGTGGGCTGGCACGGCCTGCTACAGAGCAGCCGGCCCGCTAGCGGCCCGGCCTGCCGCCTCCTAGCCCCCCCCCACGGCCGGCGTATATAAGCGGCACTCCCCGCTCGGCCGCCTCCCCCTACGGCGCCTCACCCTCACCCTACCCAAACCCTAAATCCTACCTGCGTGGCTCGCGCTTCCCTCTCGCCTCTTCCTCGCGCGGCGGCGTCTCCCTTGCGCGCGGCCGTCTCCTCACCGCCGCATGGGCGCACCTGGAAGCGCCACCACCTGCGGGCTGCGGGGGAATCGGCCTCGACCGCAGTGGCTTCCTCGGGAGCAAGCGCGTCGACCTCGAGGACGCCGACCCCGAGCTCCGCCCTGCTACCTTCTCCGCTCACCTCGACGGATCCGGTGTCAAGCGCCCTGGCTTCCTCCCCTCCGCCCACGCAGCCCCCTCCCCACCAGGGCAAGCGCGCCGGCGGCGGCCACCGCTTCCAGTGCGCCTCTTCCGCCTTCCCCGCACGCGGAGGCGTCTCCCTTCCCTCGCATGCATGGCCGTCTCCCTCGCGCGCGACACGACATCCACGGCCAGATTCGAGCGGCGATGGGCGGATTCAAGCGCGCCAGCAACCGCCGCCTCCTTGCCTCCCCGCGCGGCCCAACCTCCAGCCTCTAGGGCGAGCGCGCCGGCGGCGGCCGCCGCTTCCCGTGGCTGCCCTTGCCTCCTGCTCTCCCCTTCCCTCTCTCTGTGGGCCTCGCCAGCCTGGCACGCTTGGTAGGCCGTGCCTTCTCGGGCCGGCCCGGCCCGAAAAACGGCCCAGCAGGCCGTGCCTGGCCCCTTGGTCAGGCACGACGCCCTTCTAGGCACGGCCCGGGTGGCACGCCGTGCCGTGCCGGCCCGACCTCCTTCGGGCCGTGCCTGGCACGGGCCCGTGTCGTGCCGTGCCGTGCCGGCCCGTTGGCCATCTATGCTCAGCTGTCTGCAAGGCTACAGGTATGTAGGCTACTCAGCGCAATGGCGTGGCGTACTGCGCCATCGTCCACCTCGGTGGCGATGATTTGGTGCCGTGGATGATAGCGGACCGCTACAGTGACAGAGCATGGCTGAACAAAAAGGGAGGACTAGTTTATGTAATCGAGCTCTAAACATCAATGAACAGTGCTAGAATTACTATCTACGTAATAGAGATTATGGTGAGCATGGAGGCCATAGCCCACTTTAACCTCAACTAAGCTCCGCCCCTGAACCGCTATGATGCTGAATGATTTCAAATAAAAATCCAACTAATCCTAGTCTAGGACTTGTTTGGATGTAAATCCAAGTCCTAATAATGTCGTATGTACTCTCTCTGTCTCTTCTTAATTGTCGTTCTCACATTTCGAGAAGTCAAACATACTAAACTTTAACAAAAAATATAAAAAAATTAATATTAACATTAATATATAAAAATATTAATATTTATGCATACAAGAAAATATTAATATTTATGATACATAATTGATATCATTAAATATATCATTGAATCTACTTTTGTAAAAAAATATTTGAAGATACAAGTGTTACTAATATTTTTTATAAACCTAGTCAAACTCAAATCATTTTGATCGGCACGAATAACAGGACACATAAAAGAAAAAGAGGGAGTACCAATACATGTGGATAAATTGGGATATACAACCAAACAAACCTCTTGCAGTGTATAAAACATCATAGACCAATCATTTGAACCAGAGCTCCCTACATCCAGTAGATTTTGCCTAGAGCCCTAGAACATTGCAATCTACAAGAGCACTCAATTGTTTTTTTCGAAAATGCTTGGAACAGGGCGTCTGACCGCCCGGATGTCGCTTCCCAGATTGCAGAAATCACCGTCCCATCCGCTCACTCCTGCCCACGCGCGCGGCCCTGCTACCATCCCCTCCCTCCATCCCCCGCACGCACCCCCATCCCGCGCCGCATCCTCCGCCGTGCCATGCTCCATCTCCCCCGCGCACCCTACTCCGCCTCACGGCTTTCTCCAGCGCACGACCCGCCTTCTCCACTGGAGCAACGCACCGCGGCCTTGTCCACCGGAGCGGCGAGCTCTACACCGATAAACTCTACATGCCGACGAGCCTCCATTCCCAAGCAGCAAGGAGATGTTGCGCTGAAAGCGCATGTTGCAAACGTATGTTTCAGTTGTTTAGGTGTTTCAGAGGTATGTTGCAAGTGTTTCTTATATGTTTCAATATTTCATCTGTATCAAACGTATGTTGCAAGTGTTTTTATCTGGATGTTGCAAAAGTAGATCTGGATATTGCATATGCATGCATGTTGCAAGCGTATGTTTCAAGTGTTTCATCTGGATGTTTGCAATGGTTTTCAAGTGTTTTTCGTGTGTTTTTTGCAAGTGATTTAAAAGTAGATCGGGTGTCGCATATGAGATGCGCGTGGGAAACGGTGGGCGGCGCGGCTACGTTTGGGGCAGCGCGGGCCCGCTGTTGGGACACTCGCTTCGCCGCCCAACGCGCTGGGGTGCTCGTTCGCTCGCTGAGCGGGCACCGTCCAATGCTAGCGTCCCGGATCGGACGTCCAGGGTGCTAGCAAGTCCTATTTTTTTGCAATGTGCAAAGTTAAAATCCAACAAGAAGCTAGTGACAAGGAACCGCCCCTAAAAACTAATGACAAGGAGCCAGCGAGAGGGTTGTTAGCCATCACTAGAGGTAAGGTCAACTTATAAGTGTTGTGAAACAGATGACTCTTCCATCGGATGTTCGGATGCTAATTAGGATGACTAAACATGAGTTAACTATAAAACTAATTACAGAAGTCGTTGCTAATTCGCGAGATGAATCTATTAAACCTAATTAATCTATTATTAGCACATGTTTACTGTAGCACCTATTTGTCAAATCATAGACTAATTAGGCTTAATAGATTCGTCTCGTAAATTAGTCTTAATCTGTGTAATTAGTTTTGTAATTAGTATATATTTAGTACTTCAAATTAGTATCAAGCATCTGATATGATAGGGACTAAACTCTAGAGGTGAAACCAAACACCAGTGCTTGACGTTTGGGGACAAGACATTTTTTTCACCGCACTCCACTTCATCATGTATATATATTCTATCATCAGATCAATGTAGTTTGAAAGAGAATATGTGGCAGGGGAAAGATATAGGCTGCGTTTGGCTGGCTGGACGGCTGGGGACAGAACAGTATTTTCTCTCACAATAATCAGCCGGAACAGTATTTTAGCTTATTTTTCAGTCCCGCCGAACACTCTCATACATCTCTACTCCTTTATCATTGCATGGCCCCGTTCGGCTGCCCTTAAAACCGGCTTGTTCGGCTTCTTTTTTTCATCCAGAACAGTGTTTTTCTCTCACAACATTTTATCCGGAACGGTGTTTTTCATCCAATTTCATCCGAATTTCCTCCCGCCGAACGGGGCCCATATATCGATGGCTATTAACTTGTGCACATCTCTTATCCTACAGGTGCTTGAAAGTTGAAAGTGAAAAATGAACTAGAACTAGCAGCAAGGGATAGCAGCTCGCAATCTCGACAACAAATAAGCAAAACAACGCAGCTGACGACATATCAGAGCGACAGAGCGTTGCTAATGCTATTGCTCAGTGCAAACGGACAAAGAAGACAACAAGCCATTTAAATATATAACAAGACCTAGAAATCAATCTTACAAATAACAGCAGGACTGATATATATTAATAATACGAATGCATCTGGTGATTTGAGTACAGAAACAGTCGGATAGCTTTATAATGTGCCACCAAAAAGGCCAAATATAGACAATATAGACATTTCATCAAAACAGACACATGAGAACATGAAAAAATTGGATGAAAATCAGGCCCTCTCTGCCAGACGTTAGCTTGCTGTTTGCTTCAATTAGGTAATGCGGCGTGCCACACTTGTGCTCAGCTAGTGCGCCGAAGCTCGCCAAAACTGGGGCCCTCATTTCGTCAGCCAACATTTGGTGTGGCCAGACCTACGACGACCCTATATACGGCAAGAGCCAAAGAGACCCTTATTTTGTAAGCCGGCCCACATGCTCACCAACATGGCAGGGAAGGGACCAAAGAACGCTGATTCTCAGCACACAGAAGCCTAGGTCACATATACCATGACTGACGCCGGCCATTTTCGGTCTGAAATCAACCAGACCTTGCGCAACAACATTTCTATCATCATCGACTTGTGAAGCCACCACATCAACTTTCAGTTGTCCACCTGGTTCCACAGAAACAACACATCTCGAAAGCTCAATTACACCATGCTTGTTGAAATTCATTCTGCCATATCGAGAATCTAGTAGCAAAATAGCACCATGACTGATACTGGCTGTACGGGACATGACTCGTCCTCGAAAATGATCCGGCCATGACCCACGAACAACTCTCACACAGACTGTGGCCTCAACTGATTGAACAAGAAGCGCAACTGCAAACTCAAGTTTACTTCGTTTGCAGCGGGTATATATTGTAGTTATGAAAGGAGGTTCCTCAAAAGAAGCTTGATGGCGGTATTCAAAGACACTGAAGTTGAGCACCTTATCTTCAGACTCAGTTTTGCACTTTGCTTTCAGTTGAACTTCGATAGTAACTGGATCAATTAACACCACAGCACGAGAGGGGCCTGTCAACTGCAAAAAGGGATCCTGCAAGCACCACCATTTATCAATTGATTGTTACTAGTTCGTGATGTCAGGTTTTTATTCCAAAAAAAAAAGAACAAGGAACAAGGCTACTCACTCCGTCCGTCCAGGTTCAAAGCTAGAATTGCGTTCTTTTTGGATGGACCTGTCCAGGTTCAAAGCTAGAATTGCATTCTTTTTGGACGAAGGGAGCTAGAATTGCGTTCTTTTTGGATGGACCTGTCCAGGTTCAAAGCTAGAATTGCATTCTTTTTGGACGGAGGGAGTACATAAGCAATGAGGAAGGACAATATAAGAAATCCATTATTAATGAGGACAGTCAATCCAATATGAATGAAAATGGAAATTTCGCCTACTTGACCATAGAAAAGGCAGACTTGCATGTTACACAGTACTCCCTCAATTACAAATTATAAGACATTTTGTCCTTTTTACATTGCAATTACTATGACATAGTGTATATTTAAGTGCATATCAAAAACTATGAATTTAAAAAAGCCAAAACATCTTATAATTTGATGAGAGGGGGGAAGTAGCATTTAATATTGTTGTTCACGAAGACAAACGCAAATAATAATAACATAAACCATTATAAGTAGAACATCAATCAACCATTATAAAAACAATAAAAGTAGAAAATGCATACAGAAGCGAGCTAAACATCTAGCACAACAAAGAAAATGGACGAAAAAAAAAGAAATTGCATGGCATGTACCTCTTGAGTTATGATCTGGCAACTATCCCTAGTGCGGTCGAAAAGAAGGTTTCGTCTAGGATCTGCGGAGTCCCTGGTGGCAATCAAGCCATAAACGTGCAGTGGCCAGTGGAGACCTTCCTCCTCTTAAGTTGGGCGACTTTAACTGAGAAGAACTGCAATCCGCTCTGGCATATAGCATGCTTTGGGATGGGTCTAAACGTATAGCGCATGGAGGGCACAGCTGCAACAGGGGATTCGATTAACTAGATAGATTAATCGATCTAGGCGAGATAATCGGGCTGGAATATGAGTTGGCTTCGCTTACTGATGTCCTCGAAGGAACCGTAGTCACTGGCATAGCAGAGTTCCCATGTTCCCATGTTCTCATCCTCAAATCGACCTCCGTCCGTCCTCCTCCTTTCGCAGGCGGTAGGTGCCCGTGCCTTCTCCTGCCCCATCTTGCCTAACTCACAAGCCATCCGACCCGATCCGATCTGATGGGATTTTAAACCTGGGCTTCACAGGGGAATTTTTTTTTCACATACAAAAACGCAAAATTTCTTGAAGAGTTAAATGCGCCAGCGGCCCTCGAACTTATAGACGTGTGTCACATAGGTCCATGAACTTGAAAAATATATTTTTAGGTCACTAAACTTGTTAAGTGGTGCACCGCAGACCCATACCAGCCACGTGGACATTTTTTTTTCTGACGTGGCATGCTAGTGTGACATGTAATTTTCATTTAACCCCTCACATCTCTCGTCTCGTCTCGATCTTGGCAGCGGCTCGCGCCGGCGGGCGACGGGCTATCTTTTGGCGGGCGCCCCAGCTCCATGGTCGGCGTCCCCTGCGCCGCAGCTCGTCCGGCCAAAGTAGCGACAAGCGCCGCGCCTTCGCCGACATTCCTCGCGCCACCGGTGAAGAAGTACTCGACAATGACGCGCCGTGCTCCGTTGTCACCCAAAGACCGCTGCGTTCCGCCTTCCCCGATATGATCTCCGGCAGCACCATCCCGTAGGCTGTACACGCCGGCCTTGGCGGTGATGGGCACGCGAGATCCACTCCGCCATGCGAGGTACCCGATGGTGCCCCCGCACCGTCGTCAGACGGCTGAAGTCCCTCCCCACCAGTTTCGCCATGCCGAAGTCGGCGACCTTGGGGACGAGGTCCTCGTCAGCGTGATGTTCTCCGGCTTCATGTCGCGATGGATGATGCAGTCCGGCAACCCTCGTGGAGGTACAAGCAAGTTTCGGCGGCGCCAAAGCGCGATCTGGAACTGGCGCTCAGCTCGGCTGTCGGCGGCGCCAAGAACACCCCAAAAAGTGCCCCGTCCGGCGAACCGTTGGGCATGTAGTCGAGACGAGTAGCCGCTCATTGTCGTGGGAGGAGAAACCGCGAGGCGGACGAGGTTGACGTGCTGGGATCCGCGCTGATGGTGCGCACCTCGTTCTGAATCGCTTCTCCCCACGCAGAGGAGGCGCCCGAAGCTTCTCCGAGAAGTTCTTGGTCGCCTCCTCACTCATTTCGGCTGCATTTACTTGAATGCCACGAGGCTACCACCTTCTGCTGCTGCTTGCATGAATCTTATGCTACTCTGTCTTCTCCTAAACATCTTAACAAACACGGACACAATGGCACACAATACTAGGATCGACGAATCGAGGCGGTGAGAAACGAAGATTGCCGTTTGTTAGAATCGAATGTGTACTCTCTCTGTGTGTAATCAGTAGATGCGGTGAAGGCTCCTCGCCTTCTCAGAGATGCACCGCAGCTGGAGACGCCGGTGCGTCAGTCGGCAGCCGCCCAAAGACGGTTGAAAGGTCCTAATGGCTAGAGGGGGTGAATAGCCTAATAAAATTCTACAACAACACTTAACAAAATGTGTTAGACAATTTTATGAAGTTTAGTGTTGCGCTAGCCTACTAAAATGCAAGCCACCTACCACAATTCTATTTCAAATAGTGTATGTCCACACAATAGCTATGACACTTAGCTAAATTAGTGTGCTCTCAAAGACTAACTAAAGAGCAAAGCACTAATCAAACAAACAAGCTCTCACAACTAGCTACACTAAAGAGCTTGATAACTAGTTTATGTAATGTAAGAGTGAGCAAGAGAGTTATACCGCCGTGTAGTGGTAGGAACCAATCAATCACAATAATGAATACCAATGTAGACCAATCACCTCGGAATCAAATGATGAACACAATGATTTTTACCGAGGTTCACTTGCTTGCTTACGGCAAGCTAGTCCTCGTTATGGCGATTCACTCACTTGGAGGTTCACGCTACTGATTGGCATCACTCGCCAAACCCTCAATAGGGTGCCGCACAACCAACACAAGATGAGGATCACACAAGCCACAAGCAATTTACTAGAGTACCTTTTGGCGCGCCCACCGGGAAAAGTCAAGAACCCCTCACAATCACCACGATCGAGTCGGAGACAATCACCTCCTCCACTCAACGATCCTTGCTGCTCCAAGCCGTCTAGGTATGCAACCACCAAGAGTAACAAGCTTAAATTCGAATGAAACACAATCACCAAGTGCCTCTAGATGCAATCACTCAAGCAATGCACTTGGATTCTCTCCCAATCTCACAAAGATGTTTAATCTATGATGGAAATGAGTGGGAGAACTTTGGCTAGGCTCACAAGGTTGCTATGTCAATGAAAATGTGCAAGAGAGCTCCCTTGAGCCGCCATGGGGCTATAAATAGAGCCCCAATGAAATAGAGCCGTTGTACCCCTTCACTTTGGGCTAACGCTGGGTGACCGGACGCTCGGTCCGATCGACCGGACGGCTGGCCCTCGGCGTCCGGTCACGTGATTCACGCCACGTGTCCCCCGCTTCAAATGCTGTTTCGTCGATTTCAGCAATTTGCTGAAGTCGACCGGACGCTCAGAAAAAAACGACCCGGGACCGCTGGAGCCTACTGCGTCCGGTTGAGTCTGATAAGGGTCCAAATCCATTTTTTTCTTCGACCAAGGCGCGTCCGGTCCACCTCAACTCGGACTCGACCCGTACGTCCGGTGGTATACCTACCCCATACCACCGAAGTCGAAGTCAATGGACGGACAGCGAGCAATTAGCGTCCGGTGCTTCTGGATTCAGCGTCCGGTCACTGGACCGACGTCAGCATCATTTCGATCAACTCCATTTCAACTCTTACTTCTTCACCCTTGCTCAAGTGTGCCAACCACCAAGAATTTTGCATCCGACGCAATAGAAAATAGACATTTCATTTTCCCGAAAGCGCCACTGTGCACATGTGGTACCAAGAATTTTGCATCCACCGAGAGAGGGACCCAAACCCATCTCAACCCTACAAACACCTTGTGCGCATGTGGTAGCATATTTACACAAATATTATCAAGGGCGTTAGCACTCCACTAGATCCTAAATGCATATGCAATGAGTTAGAGCATCTAGTGGCACTTTGATAACCGCATTTCAATACGAGTTTCACCCCTCTTAATAGTACGGCTATCAAGCCTAAATGTGATCACACTCTCTAAGTGTCTTGATCACCAAAATAAAATAGCTCCTACAAGTTATACCTTTGCCTTGAGCTTTTTGTTTTTCTCTTTCTTCTCTTCAAGTTTAAGCCCTTGATCATCTCCATGCTATCACCATTGTCATGTTATGATCTTCATTTGCTTCTCTACTTGAAGTGTGCTACCTATCTCATGATCACTTGATGAACTAGGTTAGCACTTAGGGTTTCATCAAATTATCAAAACCAAACTAGAGCTTTCAACGGTGGAGACGATCACCAGTGGCGCTGTGGAGACCCTGCAGAGGCAGTGGCGGTGGTGGGACATCCCGTCGCTGGCAGCATCTCTTTAGGATCGGATTAGGGTTTTCTATAGGTGGGTGTGGTGGCTCCGGTCAACCTCTTGAAACGAGCCCTGATCCCCACCTTCTCTATTTGTATGTGATGTGCGACAGGGGCCCACCAACCAGTTAGGGTTGGGCGCCAATGATCAGGGCGCAGAGGCGAGGGCCCAATAGGGCGTTGGGCCTATTGGTGGAGCTCAACTAACATTCTCCCCCTTAATCTCATTCCATCTTTCATTTCATATCATTTACTTTTGTTCATTCCATTACAGATTAGCGCATAGAGCATGTCTCATCGTCACGGTCCATTGTCGATAGACTTAACAGCTACAACACACTACTCTATTCTGAAATAGATACTTATCTTTGGGCCTTCTTTTGTCCAGGAATTTTAGGCTTTCCCTTAAACCCATGCTAGCTACATGTTCTCTAAACACCATGTTCTCTGAACACGTTGGGTGGTAAGCCTTTTGTAAGCGGATCCGCGAACATCCTTTCTATACTTATATGCTCAAGACTTATGACTTCATCCCGGACTTTATCTTTCACAACATAATACTCTATGTCAATGTGTTTGGCAGCACCACTTGACTTATATTGTGAGCATATTGTACTGCCAGATTATAATCGCAGTATAACTTTAGTGGTCTATAGATGTCGTCAACCACCTTCAAACCGGATATGACCTTCTTTAGCCAGTTCATCTGCCCGTTGCCTCATAACACGCTACAAACCGTCATACATTGTGGACGATGTAGTGACAGTTTGCTTTGAGCTTTTCCATGAAATAGCTCCCCTTTGCGAGATGATAGAAAATCCACGTCTGGATATGTATTCACTCTCGCATAATCAGAATCTGAATATCCCACTATGTGGAGTCAATCAGATCTTCTATACGTCATCATGAGGCATTTTCATTCCTTGCAAATAACGCAAGACTTTCTTTATCAATTTCAGTATACTGTTCCAGAATTGCTCTAGAATCTGCCAAGTAAAAACCCGATAACAAATGCCAAGTCAGGGCGCGTTCATACTTGAGCATGTTGCAAGCCTCCGACAGCTGAAACATATGGAACCACTTTCACTTTATCGATTGAGCTCATATTGGTTCCTAGGGCATTGAAAATCTCCACATCTGTCGCCCTTGACTATATGAGCAGGTGATGGACTATATTTGTGCATACAGAATTTCTTTAAGATTCTTTCCATGTATGCCTTTTGTGACAGTCCTAATACCCCTTTTCTTCTATCTCGGTGAATCTCGATCCCTAGAACGAACGAGGCTTCACCAAGATCTTTCATATCAAGTTTTGAGGACAAAACTTCTTTGTCTCCAGTAGTATACTGACATCACTACTAGCCAGTAACATATCATCCATATACAGGACAAGGAAGATAAACTTCCCATTTTTAAACTTTGTATAGACACAATTGTCCTCTATATTATCTTTAAACCCAAAATTCTTTATTGTCTGATCAAACTTCAAGTACCACTGTCTTGAAGTTTGTTTTAATCCATGAATGAATTTTTTTAGGCGACATCCCATTCGTTCTTTTTCTTCCATGACAAAACCTTTCGGTTGTGCCATGTAAACATTTTCCTCTAAGTCTCTGTT